TTCAGTGAAATTTCAAGTTCGTAGCGATCACTTTCCATCCTTTTCGCATTGCGTCATTCGTGTCATATATATCAATCAGCGGCAGTCTTTTGGAGTTTCAAACACAATTTTATGAGTCTTTTTCAGAAGTTTGCAATAAAATCAAGTATAAGTTTATGTTTCTATGTTCGACTTAAAGCACAATTCTTATAGTAAAGGATTGAGAAAAGGCAACATCTCGATTACCGCTTCAGAATCGATTAATATTAGGTTGCCCGGAAATTAATGCAGGTTTCGCAAATTCTCACTCCAGAGCGTCATAACTCCTTTGCAATTGCATATTTTGAAATGGGGTAAAAACTCTGTGAATCAGCATGTCTTTATCTATCTAAAGCATGCCTAACTATTTCTGTAGCTCCAACAAGCAGATTACTGGAAACCAGAGAGTAAAAAGGATTTTCTTTAACAAGGTCATATTTGGCAAATTGTAACTCCTACGCATATGAATGTTCAGCGAGAAACTTTTGCAGCTTATAGTTACAGACCAGTACTACATACATAGCTATGCAGAAATTTTTTTAAAAATTTTCTGCAAAAGAAACAATTACACAATCAAAATTTTCCATTTTTTCAATATCTCCTCCGCAGACGCGATCTCTGATAATTTTGATTTTTTTATTAACTCAACAAAAACAAAGCCTAGGAGGTACCAGTTGAAACAATATCTGTCGGCACTGGCCTCATTCTTCAAGCACGAAGAGAGACTTTCACGGTTGCCTTCTTGAAAAGTTTTCTACGCCATGGAGTTGCCGCGACAACTATTCATGTTAAAGCCTCAATTTCCCTGCTCCCACAATAGTTTTAAGGAAGCGCTACTAGTTATCTTGTAGGCTCGCTCAATATCTTGCTTCAGCTATATTATCATAGAAATACCCTTCTTGCCGAATAAGTTCAGGCCAAAATAGTGCAAAAGGTAAATTCTGTGATCAGAAGCTTCATCTTCGGATGGTTGGAGATTTTGAACAAACGAAGTTGATCGTAGAAGTAATATAAGAGAGAGCATGAAGAGGGGTTTCTTATAGTATGCGAAAGATGAAAGTGGTCGAAAGATGCACATATACAGAAGAGCGATCCTTTTGAAAATGCATTTGCAGAAACCTGCATTAATTTGCGGACAACCTAATATCTCAAATCCTTTGAGCAAGTCTTGATTCTGTATACTAGTGTTTTTTTCGCATGTTCGATAGGTAGTACATGTGCTTGGATCCGTATTGTTTGAATGCAACAAGTACATCGCCTTTTGTCAAAGAATTATAGAAACTTCGACAAATTCGTGCTTTGCAGTTAAGCACCCACCGGCATAATTTCCTTGGAGTTTAGTTTTCAACGAAGAGAGTCATATATACGGGCCCATTTCAATCTATCTAAAATCTTACGCCTCAAATCGTGATTAACTTTAACACATTTGCGGAAATGGATGGCAGGACACTTACGACCCACCGGTGGGCCGTAAGTGCCCTGCCATTTAGGACAACACGACTCACCGGTGGGTTGTTTGCTTTCTGTTTTTGATCTAGATTACGATGATAGTTTCTGAGCAAACTCCTATACACATCTTTTGTAATACTTCCCAAAAGATCAACCCTTCAGACCACAAGACCCATCAGGCCAGAAAATGTTACGCAAGCCCAATATCGCGAAATATGTTCCGTTCCGGAATGGCCGTATCGAAAAATCGGCCTTGTCGTGAATCTGTTAACCGATACAGCACAAGTTCACGCACGCAATAATGCAAGCTCCTAATAGGGCTGTATGAGTGAAATTCGTGGGATCACCTAAAGTCTAAAAGCCCTACGTTTTGAGAAAGGTAAATATAAAGATAGATTTGAACGAGCTGATCTGAACATAAAACCGTTTATGTTGAAAACTGAGTTCCAAGAAAGTTATGCCTATGCGGCGTTTCCGATGCAACATCGCTTTTATTTTGCAGATTTTCAGCAGGCAGCAACAGTCCTGTAAAAAAGAAACCAAGGGCTATCCAACAAATGTAACCCATAAAAGGATAAAGCGCTGTAACAGTAATCTTACGTTTTCTCTTCCCTTATAGGTATTTCATGAATTTCTAGGATCACCGGTTCCAGAAGAATTCAGTTCGAGCCCAAGACCAGCAATGAACTTGAGGAAATCTAAAAACTCAAGTCGCATTTTTTGGGGACAATCTAAACCTCAGATGGTTTTGTTCTACCTGAATAGGTTTTACCTGAACATATCGCTAAAGATTACGGTCACGGCACGTCTCTGATTTAGGTACCCTTTATTTCAAGTTTCTTCTCAATTTATGTCTTAGTCTACCTTGTATTACAGTCACTTATTGTATGACCAGCGCGTCACCTCTGCTTCGCAGAGGCTCGCATTGGTCTTACTATCTGCACGCCTTACTCATTCCCGCACCATAATGACATTGAAACTCACCGCGCTATGCCGACTATCACGAAAGATTTGTAAACAACTATTCATTCCAATAGCTTTTCCAAATAAGATCGGTAACTCCGCTTAAATGAAACTTTTCCCAAAATATCAAATGCAAATTTGAATTGGTTTTTGGACTTTTCATGGCTTGGATTTCGCCATAAGATACAATAATCACCGTGGGCTACAACTCTGTGCAGAAATTTTCTTGAATGATTGGGTAAGATCTTGGCAAATTGAACATGTACGCAACCAATCCTTTTTGGCGCCGTGTTCGCAAAGTAATGAACTTTAGTTCAATTTTCTCGGCTAAAGTCCATGGCTTGCACATTAACTTTTCAAACATAAAAGCGATTTTGCAAAAAGTTGTGCTACAGGCTCAACTTTAGTGGCCAAAAGCCAAGTGGATCCGATTGACGCGCCTTTTTTGAGGGTTCCACACAACGGATTCGCCCATGCTTTTGTATAGTGGACTCCCATGTTGGTAGCATGCGCTGTGCAAAATTTGGGCTCAGGAGGTTGGCTGGAAGACGTTCTACAAATTTCGTGACAGACAGACAGACTTACACACACACACACACACACACACACAAAAACACGTAAACACCCTTAGCCCGTTATTATAAGTAATGATAACCTTAGCTTTTGAATTACCTTTCCGCATTGTTCTTGAAAAAAAAGAAAATTGGAGGATTAGATTATCACGATCAATTCATGAAGTTGAGACACCTAGATTGGGAATCATTGTATTTTGGGAATCTCTGCTGTCTACGAACAAGCTTAAAATCTGTTCTCACGCGATTTTCTCCAACTCCTACAGATAACTGGTCCAAGCTAAAATGCAGGTATCATGCAATTAACCTTGCAAACGGGAGCTATAAACTCAACCCGTTTTATTACTGTTTAACCGAGGTTCCTGTGCAGTAAAGATACCGCTCCTAAAACTGGTATCAAGGAAATCTTCGGTTGAAAGAACGATTCCGTACCTTGAAAATTCGTTAGGACTGCGATGCTATGGCTCAGCCGAAGAACTTAGTAGAGCAAGTTACATGCCCTCAATAGATGCCAATGTATAGGTTTTTCAAATCAGCAGATTAGGAGTCTCGTATTTTCCTTCTGAAGACCTATTCATGTAAGTGTTGTATATTTGCGGAGGATGGATCCTCCTCACGGCTTGAAACAAAAGGTCTTTGACAAGGAACTAACACATCTTACAATTTCCTGTCGTCAACAAATGTGCTTTCTGTGCTTTTTCTACCTCTTCTTTTGAGAAATCCTACTTCATGATTTAGTTCTTTTGCGCTACTAGAACACGCCTTAGAGCTACTGAAGTCAATCAAATGAATAGAAATCATGCGAACAGCTTATTGGAAAGCTCAAGGATTTTCAAGTCCCGTTCTCATAAAACCTGAGCATTCGTTGTATGTCTGATTACTTCAAACCATTGGAACCTTCCAGGCCTCTGAGGAAGACGAAGGCGTCGAAACGTAGGGCCGTGATTGGAAGAAGAATAATAATCGCTTAACAAACCTGTTCGACACAAAGTAATCAGAAACTTCAAAGGATGTTGAAAATTTCAACATTCCCCTGGTAGAGAAGATGGAGTGATCGACGTCAAATCACGAATAAAATATGAAGGAATCTCAGTATAATCACAAGTTTACTTCAGCAAGAAATACAAAAGATTCTTGATAACTGTCCCATTAGAAGTTGTTTTGGATATTTTTTTCAGCTACTTAGCTCAGCTCACATTCTCTTCCTAGCAATTAGATTGCTTCGCTCTTACGCCAGGAATTTCAAAAATGCACCTGAAACGCACTTCTGCAAAAGAAGCTTTGATAATATCAATTTATTGAGTATATTGCACTTGAACAAATCGAGCACTATAAAACGACGATACAAACAGTGCGTGACAAAACAGAAAAAAAAACAGAGGAAGAGCGAGCGAGCAAAAAAAGAGAGGGGAAACTTCGACTAGAACGATAGCTACTACAGTATGTATAAAAGACAATACGTATACGAACACTGAAGGCAATTGGCTGGCACACGTGTGATCCGCATTCGGACAAAGAGGGAAAGAGCAGCGCTTGAGCGCGACTCGCGCAGCAGCTCGGCACTGTTTTTCACAGAGAACTGAGACATTAATGAGGCTACTAATTGGGACAAAAGACAACGCGCGTATAAAATAAAATAAGTGACATGTGTGTGGGGGGAGCGAGCGATGGAGAGAGGGAATACAAAGTACGACATGTGGATAGTTGTGTGTTTATAGGTGTAAGCGAATCACACACAGTCATTTCAACAAAAATCGATAAATCGATAATCGATGTTAAGACATCAAAAAATCAGTAATGAAACTCTTTAGCTTAGAACAAACAATTCGATAGCGAATATTGTAAACGAATCAACTACCGTGGAGCATCTGAATGGATGCCAGTTCGTAAGGATAAAACATATTCGACTCAAATTGATTCGCATTTTTTCCAGAAAAATTTGCAAAAACAAAAAAAAATCAGAAAGGACATAATGAATCACAGTTATAACAACTCTAATAAGGAGCACAAAACCTCGTTATAGGGGGACGTTTACATGTTGCTGACCAGCCTGTATTTTTCTTCTAGGGACATATCAAATCCACGATGTATATTCTTCTTCTGCTGGCGTAGTCTTTCACGTGCCTCTTGGGCAGACAAACCAAAGATATCGAATTTATCATTCTTTGGTGATACTGAAATGATTCTATCGTTATAAAACCGTATTTGATACAGTGCTGGACATAATTATAGAGACACTCTAGAAATCGTCGTAATTTTCGTTCTTGTCAGTGAATCTGTCTGAAACTTTGCTGTATGGTGCGCATGTAAGCCTACCATAACTCTTCAAAACGGCTTCCAATCCCGTTGATTTCGAACGGAGAAAAATGGAAAAATTCGAAAAAGCCTGTTTTGCAAGCTGGACATAATTATAAAGACAGCTGGCCTTTTTAAACATTATCGAATTCCTTGACTCCCAAATTTTTTTGTAGAGTTATATCCCAGAATATGAAACTTTTGCAGCACCTAGGACCTGTCATGCTACTCAAGGAAAGATGATCCTTGCATTTTTCGTTTCCAAAGGCATCAGAAGTCAAACTGCGTCAACAAACAGCTGGTTTGAGGAGTTTTCAAGCCCGCGTTCATTTCAAATGACAGTCCTGGAATACACTTAGCCTTCTTGATAGATAAGGTGAAGAGCGCTTTCGTAAACTCCGCGTAATCGCTGATTTTGACGGACACAGACTCCAACCTCAACATAACAGGCTTGTCGCGCTTTTAAACCACAAAACTCGATTTTCAAGTTACAGAAAACGCTACAATGTAGCCGCAACAATACACGTACAACAATAAACTTATGTGCCTAGTCAGGAAAAAATTTCGGGGTTGCACATTCTGGTTCAGCCGCAGTTGTCATCCGTTGAGAGTTGAGTGGAGTACCCTGCACAATCATATCCAACTCAAATCAAGAAATCGAACAGGAGAGCGCTTGAAACTACAAAACCTTAACTAATCTCACCTACCGCGTAAAATGCGACATGAAACAGAGGAGGAGATAGTGAGATTTGTGATTGTGTTGAATCTACTGCTCGCAGAGAATTTTCGTAGAAAGTATTTCAAATCTAAATGCCAACTGCAGTACTAGAAAAAATCTGAAAGTTGTTGCAAAAGCTGCGTCTCCATGTAGACAATATAATAAGTCGGGTCCATCATTTCACGAACATTGGAAAGTGAGTTTTGTGGTTTAAAAGCGCGACAACCCTATGTTGAGGTTGGAGTCTGTCCGTCAAAATCAGCGATTACGCGGAGTTTACGAAAGCGCTCTTCACCTTATCTATCAAGAAGGCTAAGTGTATTCCAGGACTGTCATTTGGAATGAACGCGGGCTTGAAAACTCCTCAAACCAGCTGTTTGTTGACGCAGTTTGACTTCTGCCTTTGGAAACGAAAAATGCAAGGATCATCTTTCCTTGAGTAGCATGACAGGTCCTAGGTGCTGCAAAAGTTTCATATTCTGGGATGTAACTCTACAAAAAAATTGGGAGTCAAGGAATTCGATAATGTTTAAAAAGGCCAGGTGTCTTTATAATTATGTCCAGCTTGCAAAACAGGCTTTTTCGAATTTTTCCATTTTTCTCCGTTCGAAATCAACGGGATCGGAAGCCGTTTTGAAGAGTTATGGTAGGCTTACATGCGCACCATACAGCAAAGTTTCAGACAGATTCACTGACAAGAACGAAAATTACGACGATTTCTAGAGTGTCTCTATAATTATGTCCAGCACTGTATAATTGTGATTCTTTTCCGTAATTTACGCGGCGACATCCACCACAGTCTATCTCAATAGCAGTGTCCCCTTCATACGCGGCTACGCAGCATGGATCCATGCCTGTCATGTAGAAACCCTGCTCGAGGCAGTTGCGACGCGTATGTGCCCATAATACAAAAACCTGCGATTGTGACACATAGCACAAGTTCTTAAAATTCTTGTAATTCGTCTTCTCATAAGGTACTTTTGCGGTGGAGACAACATTTGAGAGTAAAAATGGCCATGGAGCGCACCGCAAGAATTGCGCATAAAATCTGTTTCAGCTGATTTTTCAAGGTGAGAGGGAAGGAAAGAGCCCCAAAAATTTTTGCTAATCTTCGAATTTTTTGCTGTTACGCTATATTTCTGAAAAAAAAAAACGCTAATTGAATTTTGAACAAGTAGGAAACTCTTTGTTTCAACGAGATTATCGGCTAGAAGGCGACCGCTCGCGCCGAGACGCAATCTGCGTCTCACCCGCGAGAGTGCTCTCTGGCCAATCCCTAGCATCAATTAGGTCACGAAGCCCCGCCTTTCAACCGCCAATCCAGTTGAATCAAAGGATACGCAGTGCTATTTCAAAACAGATGCAAGTTAACAACAAAATTGTTATCGGCACCGCAATGGTGTAGTATTTCGTTCAAATCTCCTATCTATCGCCGCGCTAGTCTACAAACTATGTTTTCGCTTCGGGACCAGAACAGCTTAAAACCGAAACTCTACAGCAACTCACCACTTTCAGTCGAATTCTGATATCCATTCAAACTGCTTCCATTGCTTGCTGGTGAAAATTGTGACGTTGGCGGTGTATCATGACGTTGTGTCTGGTATGCAGGTACATACTATAAGAAACAACGGAAAATTACAGTTTTTCTCTTCACTAGCCTTTTGCTTAGATGGTGCGCTCTATTAGTGCATTTAGAGTGATTAGCCGAGCAATTTTTGGGGTACTATAAGCCGATTAGCAAGTGAATAGTGCAATTTCAGAACAACACTTTTTCTACGAGTGAGTTTCAAAGCACACTAACTGCTGTTGTTAGCGCAATGCTGTGCGACATAGATATCTAAAATTCACAACGAAAATCAACAAAAATGCAACTAAAGATGATAAAACAAACTCAAAAGTTAATTCTTCCACCACCAAACATAACAAAATAAAAACCAAGAGATTCACATACATCCGGCCGATTTTCCACAGCCTCCACAGCCTCCCGAGCGCTTTCATGTGTGTTTTTACGTTCAATTCCCAGGTCCGTCTGCGGAAGTTCCGGATCCCTCACCAGCGTAATTGGCGTGGGCGGTTCCACAATCACACTTACAGGAGCCATGTGAGCCATTTGGGGTACACCCGCAAAGACTTGTTCCATAAGATCGCCCGCGGGTTCTGGGGGTTCCGATGGTCTCTGTACCATTGCTGGCGGACCCATAGGTTCAACGGGTTCTTGTGGTTCGGGCGTCCCAAACTGATGTTGTTGTAAATCCACTTCATGAATTTCTTCCACTTCAATTTGATCGACATCCTCGGACTATAAACAATTCACTTCCATTTGAAAGCGAAAACCGTTTCACAGAAGAAATCTCTCTAGTAGATCAGACCCACGGCAAGGGCCAAAGTGCAATCACGGCGAGAACACACAACCAAACGTCGTAAAACAGAAAAAACTACTCAAACAAACACAAATGACGGACTTTACCAAGAACTAACACACCCACAACACAAACACTGGACACCATTCCAAAGCTCACTCATGATCAAAGCGTTTCTTTCATTCACAGACACGATGGTAAAATGCTGGTAAAGTAAAATGTCTGTGTGGACATACTGTAGAATTACGGTAATTGTTTTTCAAAGTTCCAAAACGACTGGCGAATTTTTTTTGCAGCTATAAACCTGCCATTGAAGCAGATGAGCAAAAGAATTCTTGTAGGTGCTCTGTAGGATTACAGTAAGTATTTGCGTCAAACAATCACCGCTGTTTGTTTAAGAGTGCTTTTCAACAACATCTCACAAAAAAATAAACAAAGAATCCGGTTTCTATGAAATTGGATCTATCAAAAAAAGAAGTCAATGGATAATTTGCTTTCCCCATAAATATAACTATACCTACTACCAAATATTTGCTTGAGATTATTTCATCCAATCATGATGGTAATAGGCACTGCCGGTACACTGTAGGAGTACGGTAGCTGTTCGAAGTAAACTCAGAATGGGTCGAGAAGGATTCACATCCAGCAAACTCACCCCAAAGATTCTTTTGCAAAATTGGTTACAATCAAGTTTTCACTTTTCAAAATTATTTCCACTAATTTATCCGGATGAAGGAACATTTGGACTAATTTCACATCGTGGAGGGTATCCTCAGCTGACATACCATTAAAATACAAAAGTATTCTTATTATTTCGGACCCAACTTTTCCATTAGGATAATCGATATCGTAATTCTACAGTACACCTCCATACCCATTCACAGAGTAACGAAAAAAGTGACCATTTTGGAATAGCAGCCATAGAGCTAACTATTTTCCATGAAGTCCAAGGCAATCTATCTACTCTTCTCTTCTAGTTAAAGCTCTAATACGGAAGCCCATTTGGAAATATTTACAAACCTGGGGTGGTACCTTATATCGAAGTTCGGGAATTTCTTCTTCGTCGCTAATTTGAATGCTCTGAAACAACGGATGAACATAGGGAAAGAAACACAAGGGTGGGAAAGGGGGCAAATAATTTTTCTGAGAGACACTATCTCACAAAAATGACAAAGGATCTTCTCGTGGATGAGGGAAACGCTCAAAAAGGATTGGGTAAACAAGCAGTGGGATTCCTAGGGATTATTTGATTTTCTCAAGCACGATGATCATAGCAGTCGCACACAAAAATGACTAACAAAAGAACATTTAAATAGACTATTTGGGGAAAACGGTGATTTTATGGTTTTTTTCCAAATTCTCCACTGAATCACGAAAAAACGACCTTTTGCTAGTGGCTCTACAAAAGTAAACGAAGTAAAGAAGAAAAAGTAAAATCAATGCCGTCGCGAATTTTTTTTTTATAAAAAGATGTCTGAGTTCGTATTCCCCTCTAAAAACTTCTTTTTATTCTAGCAAAAGTTCTGCACTCTTGTTTGTAGCGTTTGTCCCCTAACTTTTTTGAACAAAATTTTCAGTTGATGAATGTGACATCAAGCAAAATTCAAAAATCTTCTGCAAAGGAAATTTTCGGTGAAATTTTCTATTGGAACGTGCAAAAACCCCTTCTAAATCATATTTTGCAAGAATTTGAATCGATACCACTTAAATATCGATAAGATAGAGCGAGAACTTGTTTCACTCAAGATGTTACGTGTGAAAGGTCTGGAAAATACATATTTTGCTAAAAAAACAAATTTGATACTCTAATCAATCTAGAAAATTCCCCTAAATTGCTGATGCTGGTGATTTATGATATCAAGAAAATATCCAAAGTCACTAAGGAACTGTATATCAAAAAGTCGCTTTTCTTGAATCAGCGGATATGATGGAAAACTGTAAATACTCTTATAAGAAAAAAAATGTAAAACTTACGTGAGGGCTAATTTGATTCGTAACCACTTGGCTGTTTGGCTCTTCAGCATAATCGAATGAAAATTCTTGACCATTTTCTTTATACCATTTATCCACTTCTTCTGATGCAACTAGTAATGTAGTACGTAATGGTGAACGCTTGATTTGTGCAACAACCTCCTGAAAAATCATTTTTACAGCTCAGGTTGAATGTACAGGAGAGCATTCTACAGTCTAGTAGATTTGACAGATGATATGGTGTCCTGCGGTAATGAGAAGATTTGCGCGGGAAAGATCCCATGCTGGCGAAATGCCAAAAACTTGCTTGCAAGTTGCGCGTAAGGAAAAGACATGATGGCAACTGTCTTGGTTTAACTGCGTCCAAGCCGTGCGTGCCATCAATGTGGCGCCATGCCAATATTGATTGATCAGTACAAGGCGCTTCCAGCTGAGGTACGCTGCTAGCACGACGCTGGCACGTGCTGGCACGGCGCTGGCACAGCACCGGCACAAGGGCAACTTTAAGCTCTGCCTTACGCGCAAATGTTGTTGGCAAAGCAATGGCACTGCATTAACCGTGAATTCTACCAGGCCATAGAGAATACACATAACCTCAAGATAACGCCAAGAATGAAGACCACAAACTTGTGGATACTGTAGTGCTTAGATATTCAAGTAAATCATTTACCTTATGAGGAGTGTTCGGATATACAAGTACACCGTTCACTCCAACAATACGTTGGCCCATTCGAAGACCAGCTCGGTCTCCAATTCCACCTTGGTCAACTGTACCAATAAAATGGCCACGGCCTTTTTCTGCGTGTAGGTTGAAGCCAAATTCTTCGGATTGTGAAGATTTCTCCTAGAAAAATAGCAAAAATCAGTTTTTTAAAAGTTTAAACAAATTTGAACTCACCAGTTTACATAGACGAGGTCTTGGCTTGTTCATGTTTGGCTCTTCGTGTGGAGGTGGTGGTGCAACGAACACCGGCTCGGCTGTCTGTAAAATGTACAAGCAGATAAGAGGGTACACATTTTCTTTGTGCACTAAGTCAATCAATTTCCGATTAGATCAGTTTAAGTGAGTTTTCTTGCTCGTTAAAGGGCAATTAGTGGGGGAGGGGGGGGGGGTCTTGTATAACTGACTGCGAATGAAATATTTACAAGGCATAAACCACATAAGCACGCAGTTCCCTAATTTGCAGACAATTTGAGTTAGAAAATAATGTAAAAATAAGCACTGTGACAGAATGTCCAGACTGTATAACCGGTTTGTGGTGCATATAAGTAGCCACTTCGGCTGAACTTGTTTTTTCATAAACTTGAAAAAGATGTTCACTAACTTTCATGAAAATCGTCAAAACTTTGAAAAAGTAGCCCCCATCAACCCACCTTGCCGATAATAATCGCATCTACTTGTCGTTTCAAATCTCTAAATAATCGCATATATTTCCCTTTCAACCCTATAGGTCAAAAATCTTGCGCATAAAAAAATACTGAATGAAATGAAAAATATAAAAATTATAACAAAAGCGTTATAAAACGAATGCTATTTTGCTTGTATATGATTAGTATATGACAACTGTAACAGAGGAAATGCTAATGAACGGTTTTAGTTATTATTATTATTTTTATTATTATTACTATAGCACTACTTTCAGATAAAATATTCTATCGATACATATATAAGATTTCTCGAAATGATCACTGATAGTGAAACGAGAAATATTAGACAACGAATACTCTGCAAGAGGAAATTTACAGAAAACGTAGATAGAAAGCACGATTGACTATTTCACTATTTTTGACTATTTCACTCACTCACTTATCAATTTATTGATACGCTCACAATGTGCTGAGAATTAGCAGTGAAGAAGTCTATAAATTATGCTATTACTTATCAGAATTTCGTACACCTCGTACTGGATCATAAAAGCGCTCGCTTGCTCTTTGCAAAAGATAACGGGTACATATTTATGGGCTTTTCAAATCGATTGTGCAACCCTTTGGAATTATTTTGGTTAAGACCTCTTAGTGTCACTGAAAGTCGGCAAACATATGGATTAACGTGTAATACGATTTTATTCCCGTTAAGAAAGTAGAACGTCTCGACAAATTTTATTTTTACAAAAAGATCCAACCAGATTCAAAAGAAACTGTATTCACAGTTTATCTATGTCAGACGCAGATGGCGCGGGGCACTTGGGAAAGCGGTCTTGACACGTTCGCGTTGCTAGCGATAACTTGGTCAGAAGAGACGCAGGCAGCCAAAACCGCAACGCTGCGCAAACTGCGGGCTGAATTTGTTCGTGCAGGTAAAACTATATTCACTTTCTCAATTTAAAAGATTTGATCTATGCACAACAAGTAGACACTCCTGCTCATATGTAGCATTGTATGCAATTGCACAATTTTATCATACCATACGGTCTGGCTACTGGAATGTAGGAAAGTTTAGGATGAAGTTACAAATCGCAGTGTCGTAGGGATGTGCTATATGTGTGCGAAAAGCGGTGAGATTTGAGATCTAGCGAGAGAGTGCAGAAAATGAGTAGAGGAAAGACATGGTCCTGCCACGACGTGAGATACATGCAAAATCTCGGAGGTTCAAAATCATGCGATTATGGGTCGAGGGGATAAAGACAAATGTCAATTTTCATATATGAAAAATTTTCTCTATAATATTTGATCTAGTACTTATTCTCTTTTGCGCTACATGCGCAAGCACAAATCAGTGTGATTTCGCCAGCGAGATAGTGAAGATAGTGAGTAGAGAGAAGACATGGTTCTACCACGAAATGCCCTAAAACAATTTCGGCTATGCAAATCATATGGTTAGTCCGATTTTGCATGTAACAATGGATTTTTAAGCACAATGTTTAGCTTACAAAAATCATTCTGCCTCCATTTTCATTTTTTTCTCTACCAATCACGTCCTTCTGCGTTCCTTTCTCTAGGATTAGCAGGATTTCGCTAGTAAAAGAGTGTAAAGAGTGAGTAGGGAGAAGACACGGTCCTGCCACGAATGCAACAGATGCTGATTTGGAAACGACCCCGTATAAAACAAGCTGCACGTTATTCGCTCTAATATCTAACTTACAACCAATCAATTCCGTCACTGCCCCTCCTCCCCCCCCCCCCCCGCCGCCGCATCACAATCCTTTGCGTCCCTTGTGCAATATTATAAGCACAAAGCCGATGATTATTCACAAGCGGGGCGTCATCGCATACACGCAAAGCATTGGTACTATCCAAACAATTCCGATCGCCTATATGCATGCCACAAGGACAAACAAGCGATGGTCAGAGCGGATTGGCGGCGGGCCGCGCACGATGAGTAACCAGTTCTAAGCACGGCTTTTTCGAGCTTCGTCATTGAGAAAGCACTCGAACGAGTAAGCCGTGGACGACTAGTCGTTATACAAACAGAATCGACAAGAAGTAAGAGAGACTGACTAGATGAGATTGGAACAATCGTGAAAGCCGATTCAGTCAAAATTCCTGCTTGCAGACGAGGAATGACTGATGAATGGAAATTTTTTGCCGTTCGCCAGCAAGAGAGTGAACAAAGCGAGTAGAGGGAAAACATGGTCCTGCCACGACATGCCGTAGACAGGAGTTGTTGTTGTCCACATTCCACGACTGCGCGACTACACGTACTCTGCGTCTCTGACCTGCAGCAGCAGCCTGACATGTTGGCAACATGCAACAACAAGTTAGCAACAATGCGTTCGTTGTTTGCTTCGAGGCCAACATGTTGTTGCATGTTGCGAACATGTTGGCCATGCGTGCCGCAGGTCAGAGACGCAGAGCAGAGGTTGCACCAATCTTGGAATGGAGTACGATGAATAGAAAAATTTTCATTAGCCAGCAAGATAATGTGGAAGCGAGTAGAGGAAAAACATGGTCCTGCCACGATATGCCGTACGCAGGAATTACAATGTATAAGTTTTTTTCATTTACCAGCAATAGAGCGAGGAAACCGAGTAGAGGGAAAACATGGTCCTGCCACGATTTGCCGCAGACAAGTTTTATATCGAACGACAATTCTTCCAACCAGCCAGAGAGTGAGGAAAGCGAGTGGGGGAGGGGGGAGGGGAAAACATTCCTGCCAAAATATAAGCAGAATTTACAATGTTTAAAAAGTTTTTTTTTCAGCAAGAAAGAGAGGAAAGCGAGTGGAAGGAAACGATGCTTCTACTACGATGATTGCTGAACGAGAATAACCGAGATTTTTTCGCCAGCAAGAGAGTGAGGAAAACGAGTAGAGGAAAGACATGGTCCTGCCACGATACCCGTAGAGGCAAGTCTGGTAATACCAGTCTACACATTTTGGTCCAGTTTTAGAACAAAGTATCTCCAATACATTATTTAGCAACCCAGTCAGGTTCCTGGCAGCAAGAATGACAATGAATGAGAACTCCAACCCTCCCCCTCCTCCTTAACCTCCCTCCCGCCGCTACCGCCATCTTTTGTTCTTACTTCTTCTAACTAGTAAGATCACCACTATAAATTCGCAACAGCAAACCAGTTTCGCACAGTTCCCTGAGCGCAGTAGTCGGAATTCTACCGTCTGACACAGCTTTAAAATGATAATACAATGTTGTTTTCACAAAATGTTAACGATTCATAACTTGAATCTGATTTTCAGCAACAATAGTTGAATACCCTGACGTACCACAGAACTTTCACAGAGAAAATGAAATGCGTTTGATATTTGGTCTCAATGACTGCGATGTATTCAGAACTGTCATCGACATGTGTCTATTCAAGAATGAACAACACGGGTGGGTTTAGACTATTTGTGGAAAAATTCATATAGGTGATTACTTGATTTAAGCTATGAAGGCACATAATCAAGAATTCCTAATAAGAGGAGCCTGCACACTCACAAATTAGTCCACGACCTTTGGGTCAATCAAACCATATGAGTACTTCCATAGAACCACGGAAATTTTATTCTATTTCATTTTGATTTATTCTAACACTTAGGGCGCACAAAAGACGCTGAACAGACATGAAAACCAGCTCCTCGGTTACAGGGAATGTTAGAAGGTATGCTAAATGAATTAATTAGAATATTGTTAAATGAAGGCATTCCAAAATTTCCAGATAGGGAAAAGCTGACGAAAAATTAACCCACAGTTCCCCATACATGGTATACTGCACAGCCTTGAACATTAACAACAAAGCTCTCGCCGTAATTATAGGATTTATTGGTCAATATCGTTTTTTATTTTGTTGATTTTGTCATTGCACGTAAAGCCCTGCAATACCATATTTAGATTTTCCCCTAATCAAAGTTGTATAGACCGAAAACCCATTTGTACACAAGTCAGCAAAAAGTCTCTTCATTTCCTCCAGTTCACTCTTTTCGCGTTGAATTTTGATTTTTTTTTATTATCGAGAGGGAATAGGGGTAGGGGAGGTAGGACTAGTTGTCGCGGTTCATATCTAAGATATCCTTTTCATAAACAAAAAAGCAAGTTCTGGAAGAGCTATATTGCTGACAAGCGGTTTGGGGTACTGATGTCGGAAATTTGCTTGGCAGAAAAGGTTGGTAATGGCGGTTAACAGCAAAAATGAGAAAATAATATCAGAGGTTCTTTTCAAAGGAAGGAAGCTTTCGGGAAAGCATCGTATGGTTGAAGAACAAAGTGACTTTTCACCTTTCCTCGGTACAAAATGCTCGCACATCAATTTATCTTTGGCCCTATCATCATCGATAAAAAAGTGGACGCAACAAAAAATGATAAACAATATTGATGTGCATGTTTTAGAAAACGATCATGTGTCTTGACAACGCATAAAATAAATCATACGGCATAAATAAAGATGTAAAATGTGCCCAAACAGCCACCGAACATCGCCGTTTTGCGATAAAAACAGATCGATGACGGGGAGAAAATCCATAAATTTTACAAAGAATGGTTTACACAGCCGTCGTTTGAATAATTATGGCGCACGGGGTGGATGTAAGAAGAGTTGAAAATTTCTAGA